ATCATCCATAATACAATTCAAGTGAGTAAAAAACAAAGATTTTATGTAGCTTTTATAGGGCAGCATTTATGGTCGGCGCTTTTGGGCGTATTTTAAATAATTGTTTACTCTTTTGCAGATGCTTACCACCAGGAGGTGTAAATTAACTATTTAAGTGAACGATTTAGTGTTTGAGAGTTGGCAGCATTTATGGTCGGCGCTTTTGGGCGTATTTTAAATAATTGTTTACTCTTTTGCAGGTAATGGCTTGCTTTTTTCTTTTCTTTTATTTATTATATTTTGTTTATGCCGACCATTTGCTGCCATTTTTTCATTTGTCTTATTTATGTATTTTATTTATAAGAATATAAATGCTATTATTGTTTCGGATGATATTAACCTGGTGTTGTCTTGTAATTTTTCTTTTCAGTCTAATTGTCACGCGTTATATTGTTGTATTAATTTGTTTTTTTTTTTGTAGTGTTATTTACTACAGTTTGTAATTTCAGTTATAAGAGCCCGTACATACAGGGCTTTCCCTTGTACTAAATAAATAAATGTAGCTTTTATAGATATTCAAAAACCCTTTGATTCTGTTTATGTTCTGCTATTAGTGTATAAGTTAAAAGCTAAAGGATCAGGAAACCAATTTGCTACTACAATATTTAAGCTATTTTCAACTTATAATGCAACTATTAAACAGGAAAAATCTGTTTCTCCACCATTAACATTAACACGAGGCATACTTCAGGGTGACCCTCTGTCACCTTACTTATTAAACTTCTATTTACTTGAAACTGATCAAATCTTTCAAGATCGTTCAGATGGGATAGAGATTGGTGACAGAGTTTTCCACTATGTGTTATTTGTGGATGACCTTGATGTCTTTGCTCCTACAAAAAGTTTCATTACAAAGAAAAATTAATCAGTTAAATTCCTATCTTGTTAAATCAATTCACTTAACTATAAACTCTGTCAAAACTAAAGTTATTACATTCTGTAACAATAGTAGAATCTCCAAAAAAAAACTGTGCTATATCTAGATAATAATCCACTGCAGACAGTAAATGAAATTAATTATTTGAGTGTTGTATTTGACTGGAACCATACATTTAAATCACATCTTTCATACTTAGACAACAAGGTAAAACATGCCATAGGTAATCTGTTATATTTATATTCTAAATTAAAAATTTCTAACTTAACTATCCATATGAAGCTCTATAATTCAACTATTAATCCAATCATATACTACGCATCTCCAATCTGGAGACTTGACTACTTGTATAAACTAGAATCTTTCCAAATTTATTTCCTCTGCAGACTATTTCATTTAGAAAGAACTGTAACAGGCTATGCAATTTGTCACAAAACCAACAATATCTGCACATTCCCATTCTTTATAAAACAAATCATTAAATTCTATTACCATTTAAAATTTAGAAGTGACAGTAATATCAGCTTTCTACATAATAAAATAATTAAAAGCAGCAAAAAAGCAACATCTATAAAACTTTGGAAAACTAAATTAAATAAAATACTAAATTCTTTTGGTGTATCAGAATTGTTATTCAAAGATAGTATCCGGGATTGGAAATTTGGATACACCACGCTAATAGATTCAGCCTATAAATGCTGATCAAACCAGTTTAAATCATAATACTTATCATCCATGGTACTTAAAAATTTTTTAAATCCCATCTGTACAACCTTATATGATAAAAACAATCAACTTCAACGTGAAAAGGCTAATATCACAATTACGACTAATTATAATAAGAAAAGGATGATAAATTTTAATAAATACATTTTATAATATTTAATGAAAACAGTACATTATAAAATATATACCTCTTATTCCTTAATTGTAAAAAAACAATTCAAAGATCTTTAAATTGTTATTAAAAGAGAGAAGTCCCGTATCAATTTATCAATAAGTGAAATTACAATCATATTTAAGATCATATAAATAATTGTTAACATTATAGAATATATAAACTTTTTTATATTTATAAATTATTATTATATTTTATAAATTTTATTATTTATTAATCATTATTAATGTAATCTTTTATGA